GTGCATAATAATTTGCTATCATTTATTGTCTATCTATTGCATCTGATTAAATGCTAACAGTCGGCCCCAGTTTACTCCAAAAAAAAAGACTGAAATCTATAAACAACATAGAAATAAACTTTTTATTGCATAAAATGACTATACTTTACTATGGGCACTCTCGAACTCGACACCTAGTTTCGCCTCGAGACATTGCTCATTTGGTTGGATTTTTCGCGCTGATTCCCAATAAGTGGTTCGTTTTTGTGGAAATCAGTCAAAAATGGCCTTAAAGTCAATTAATTTTGAGAGCTTTTCTGGCACACTGAATTTCCGCTCATTGAAATGCTTTCTCTCCTCCCATCTCGATGTGTGCTCGAAGAGTCAATGTATTTATCATGTTCAAAATATTAGTGGAGATATCCTTCGCTATTTTTTATTTTATTACGCTCAAAATGCCGTTTCCAGTACTGGCGACGAATTTCTTCTTAGCAATTAGGAAATTTAAGGAAAAGGGATTAGGAAAAAAGGGAAAAGGGCCTTCTTTGGCTAATTCATTAAGAAATCCCAGGCTTTATCGCTTCAAATTATTTTCAAAACTCTAAAAAAATATTGAGAAGAATTCACTGAAAACCATGTTGATTAAAAAAAGTATCGAGCTAATAGAACTTTGGCTGAAAAGAATCTCAAAGTTGACTCGAATGATTGAAAAGTTTCTCCATCATTTCAGGTCAAATAAAAAAGTTCCTTTGCTATTATTAGCTTAAGATTATAACTTTTCATTTTAACCAAACAGAAATTAGATAACTACTCTGGCGGAGAAATTCACATGGATTTCCCATTCCATATGCTTTATTGACGCCCAACTATAAGGGGTGAATTCCGGCGGCAGAATGGCACAAATCTGAACAGAAATTTTTATTTCACCTAACTATAAGGGGCATTCACCCCTTATAGTTAGGTGTCATTCACAAATTGCTTGCGAATTCGTAACGTAGACTTAAAAATTTATTCGATTTTTACACTGATAATTGTTGTTTCTTCAAGTTGCAGCTGATTTCTTGCAAATGAATCTCCCAACTTCATGTTCACCATTTCTGCTCCCGACGCCTATCATGAGCAAAGTGGTTTCTGTGATCGGCGGAATGGCACAAATCTGAACAGAAATTTTTATGTCTTTTATATGAACATATCTTTCTATTACAATTTGACCCTTCTACCGTATGCCAAGGTCTAAAATTTCATATGTTCCTGTTTTTTTTTTATTTTCATTCATTGTATTTTCATTGTTTACAATGAAATTGATCTTTGTGGGCAAAATTACAAAGCTTATAAGGGCAGTCAATAACTTTCACGCACCCCGTAGAATACAGTTGAGCTTATTCTTCAGATGTAACTTTTTGAGACTTCAAAAGATTTTTTAACTTTATCCCTGTTACTAGTCAATCAGTCTCAGTTTGCGAGATAATCATCGTTGATATATTCGCTCATTCAGATTCCCCCCGCGCGTATCTTTATTGTTTATCGTCCCCCACATGTTAACAACCAGGGCTCTTTCCATCTATTTACATTTCTTGAAGATTACTTGCTACCAAATCATCCAAATTTCCTTCTTGGCGATTTTAATTTTCCTTTAACTGTTTCTCCAGGACTTTTACCTAATTTATCGCGTTTTCCACATTTAGAGAACTTCCTGTCGGCCAACATCTTAGGAATTTTAAACAAATTCCCTACTTTTAGGAAAAGTTTGCATATTTTAGACCTAGTTTTAACCGATTCCCCTCATTTGATTTCAGCTATTTCACCATGTCCTCCCATTGGTGGTGCCAACCATTTTTCTATGTCTTTTAATTTAATTCTGCATCATTTTACCTCTCGAAAAGGACCGGATGATGGTAACCGTGCCTTTTGGAGAGGTAATTTCGGTGCTGTCTCTCTTTCTTTAGCGCTCTACAATGCAAGGTTTATTCCCCGATTAGAGATGGACATCAACGAGTGTTATGCTGACTTCTTTGAGGAGATGAAATCGCTGTTGGACGAAAATGTACCTATTTCAAACAGGTCTACCTTTTCTTACCCCAGTCACATATCTCGAGCTAGGCAAAGGTTAGAAACAGCTTGGCGTTATCGCGATCCCCCATTACGCATATCTAGAAAACAAGCTAACTAAGTTTGTCAAGAAATTTGAGGCCAATATTGAACGGAAAGCCGTTTTTAGTCCTAGTCCCAAGGTTTTTTACTCGTACGTCTATTCTAAGATTAACCCAAACCAGGATTCCTCTATTAAATGTATATTTGACCCCCTTCGCAACTCGTTGATTTTCGAAAATCACAAAATTGCTAATTCCTTTGCTCAATATTTCTGCCGCGTTTTTGTAGTTGACGATGGTAGTTGCATCCCTGCTCTTCCCGCCCCCGCACATACTTGCGCAGCCCTAATCGTCACATCAAGACTTGTCGAAACAGCAATTAGTAAGCTTAGCAATAAGATTTCTTACACCCCAGACGGAATTCCCTCTTTTGTTATACGGAAATATAAGTTTCCAATATCACCAATACTTGCTAAACTTTTTAATGTGTCACTTCCAACGGCTAAGATCCCTAAATTTTGGAAAGACTCAATAATTTCGCCACTTTTTAAGAAAGGAGATCGGAACGCGCTTGCAAATTATAGACCCATCGCGCTCACCTCCTCCATTTGTAAAGTCTTAGAGATAATTATTCGCGACCACATTATTTATTATCTAAATGAACATAATCTAATTGATAAAAATCAATTCGACTTTCTTAAAAACCGCTCTACCTCCGACCAGCTAGTTCTCTGTGCGCATGACGGGGTTCTAGCTAAAGCCAAAAACGATCAAACTAGCTGCGTTTTCATTGATTTTTCCAAAGCATTCGATTCTGTTAATCATAGATTTTTCAATCGCCAAACTAAATTCACTAGGTCTCCCCATATCCATCACTAATTGGATTGCAAATTGGCTTACCGAAAGGACTCTTCGACAAATGCAAACACGTTACATTTGGTTCATTACATATCCCTTTAAATTTGGGGGACCTACAATTACCACAAGGATTGGCCGCTGATCCTGTAAAAGATCTTGGTGTACTGTTAGTTCCCTCTCTAAAATTTGATCCTCACATAAACTACATTTCCAAAAGAGCTTCTAGAATTTCTAACATAATACTTCGCGCCATTTATTTCCCTAAAATTGAGACTTATCGCAAGGCTTTTATAACCTATTACCGACCTTTGCTCGAGTATGCCACCATCGTATGGTCACCTTCCACTAAGAAACTTATCACCTTAGTTGAAAATGTCCAACGGCGTTTCACTAAAAAAGCATACACTCGTTGTTTCCCTTCTTCTCTTATTCCAAATTATGAGACTAGACTTATAGTTTTTGATTTAAAACCCTTTTATATCGCCGTATTTACTTTGATCTTATTTTTTTGCTATAAAATTCTTTTCCACCCTAAGTCGCATCCAGAATTTCAAAGCCTCTTGAAAATTGTGGAAATTCCTAGAAGTACACGTAGTCATCCTTGTCAAATTTCGGTCGGTTCTCATCCCCATCATTTTTCCCTTTATCATTCTTTTGCAAATCGTATTAGTAGGGTTTGGAATAGGCTCCCGTCTGGTATCTTCTCGTCTGTAGGAAAATTCAAAGCATCTGTAAACGAATTAGATCTTACTGTCATGTCAAATCTGCCCTATATTTAATCTTTTTGTACCTGTGTTTCCTAGCTGTAGTCTTGCTGTACTATTTTTAGTTTTCTTTCTTTTTTGTGAAGTATTGTAGCAATATGTGATATGCTGTTATGATTATCTGATTCGCTTCTATTCGCCCCCTGAATAAAGCATATATATTACTTTTTCCTCAACCTAATACTTTTGTTTAATATTTCTGATTTTTGGACCTTCTTACAAAATTTGTTTCGTTGAGGGCCTTTAAAACGAAGACGACGAAAGAAGTTGTCGAACATCTGATTGCAATTTTTGCGCCAAGAATTCTTCAAACAGGTATATACTTTTTTAAAGTATTTATTCAATTAGCAGATAGTATTTAATTTAAGTAATCTGTTTCGGCCAACGTTCACATATTAAGGTGATGGGAATGAAACCAGCGCTCACATATCTTTTCAAAAATAAAAGGATTGCAAGTCTCAGCCAATAACTGTTTTATACTATTAGAAAGCTCTGATTCTCCTCTATCTACAAAATAGTGGAAAAAAGATTCTGAATTTCGTAGAGAAGATTCAGAGCTTTCTAATAGTATACAAGAGTTATTGGCTGAGGCTTGCAATCTTTTTATTTTTAAAAAGATATGTGAGCGCTGGTTTCATTTCCATTACCCTAATATATTTTCATGAGACTTTTGTGGAAAAAGAGCCACGGAAAGAGTTCAAGAAGGATCTTGAATCTTGTCTCGATGGACAATCAAGTAGCAGAATCGATAAAGAATAATAAAAGCAAATAAGCAAATAAAAACAAAAATACAAATATTGTGTTTTGTTTTCAAAACTAAATCAAAATGATCTTTGAACTATCGCGCAATCTTTTGGTCAACAAAAAAATTTATTTAAACAATAAATTCTTTTGAATGGTGGAATAAATAGCAAAATTTAGACAGTTGGATCGATCTATCGAGTTGAAATTGTTCGTTTCCTTTTTCACTTAGACTTTTTCTGTGACTATTATTTGTCACTCTTCAAATGTCGATCTTCAAATCGCTCAATTGTGCACTCTGTTCGACGCCGTGTAGGTTTTGCTTTGAATTCGAAAAAGAGCACTATTTTTTTCATTAACTTACTCTAACAAAAATGCAAAGAATTGTATTTCAGACTCAAAAACGGCTAATGAAGTAAATACACCGGCACAAACTCTTTGTTATGATATTCAAGCAGTGTGCATGAAATGTCATGAAGAACAACGAGCAATAGCCCCAGCGATTCGAGCACATCAATGCAAAGACCACGATTGTTTCAAGTACAGCGCGCCTCCTTCATATTGCTTGATGGGTGAGTAAACTTGAAAGTAATCAAAGAAAATTCTCTTTGAAAAACGAACACAATCAGATTGCTTTAGAATTGCTCTCAAGTGGGTGCTTTACGTTGGATCAAAATTTGATGGGATACGTTCAAACAACGCAATCAATCACAATTCCTGAGTGTCTGATTTGTAATGAAGAATGTGGGTGATTTCATTGTATACTTAGAAAATGATGAAACATTAGACTCAATAGAAAACTCACAAAGAGAACCATTCATCCTCCACTGTGGCCACGGAATATGTAATGGGTGTTTTGCTAAAATGTCAAAACCAATAACCCATCCGGGCTTTGAATATACTCTCAAATGTCCACAATGCCAACGGAGCGTCGCTTATGCTCAAGAATCATGGGAGAATCCATTGAAAGGTTGGTTGCTTTTCTATCATCCTTCAATCGTTAAAATTATTCAGTCTTTTTGCGAGAACTGTCCGAGGAACGACAAATTGAATTGAAAAGAACATGTGATGATTGCGAGAAAGAGGTTTTCCCTTAGATTTAATGTTGCCAAGATCTATTTAGGCGCCTTTGTTTGAAATGTTTCAATGTAACGATTGTGGAAAAGTAATGGTTCGTTGAGAAAACATTTTTGAAAATAGAAGTTTATTTTTGGATCATTGTGTGCATATTTCAGTTAACGCTTTCAGGGATATTAGAGAATTTCAAAAACTACACTCATGTAATGTGTAAGGTGAAAGTATAAATCAAAATTTAGCTTTGCTCTTTATGTGGAATGAAAAAGCATCGACAGCATAAAATTGTCGATTTGGAAGTTGTGGAGGTAGAAAAAAAGAATCTACAAATAACCAGAAGAACATTCCATTTCAGGTGAAGAAATTGATGAATGCAACTTATGAAGTGATTACCCCGCAAATTAAAGCTTATGACGTCTGTTTTCCCGAACTTCAAGCGGATTTGATTAAAAAAATCCACAATTTTCAAGCGGTAAATTTTTCAAATTGTTGTGATAAATTCCAGAGATTCTTCAGAAAGCTCTTGAAAAAGCCGGCAAAATTGAGGGGTTAAATTATTATCCAGCAGAGTACGAAAAGGCGGATTGCTTGTAAGTTTAAAGAATTTTGAAAAAGAGAAAAAACGTTCAGAGGTATTGGTGAGGAATTTGAGGGGATTTGTGAGAAATATTTGGGCGATTTGCGATTATGTAACACTGGGATTGAGGTTTAAGGCTAAAATGGCGCATTTATTATTCTCAAAGTTTAGAAGCTGCTCAGCAAATTCAATGAGTCAGAATGAACTTCCTAAGATTTCTTGGAGTTACTGATATTGGCTTCTTTATGTAACTTGTTGTCTGTGTTTTTTTTGTGTTTATCTATAACAAAAGCCTTTTTAGTGCCTAAAAATAGCGTGAGAATCCATTTATTGACTAAAAAGATGGTTTTTTCGTTTGAAAAAAAATTGCTGATTGTTCCTAAGGATGTCTATTTATTATGTTCATAAACTATTTCTGTCGAGGCACATTATCTAGAGAGTTTGAGGTTAAAATGTAAGGATTGGTGATTTCTGATCGTCCTGTATTCAACTACCAGTCGGATTGTTGAATGAAACTTTAAAGACTCATTTCTAAAAAGAAAGATAGAGAAATATGGAAGCAGGTTGTGATCTGCGCAAATAGGAACACCTAAGTGCCAAGACAGACCAAAAAACTGGTAGTTGAATGCAGGACGATCAGAAATCACTCATCCTTACATTTTAACCTCAAACTCTCTAGATAAGGTGCCTAGACAGAAATCGTTTATGAACATAATAAATAGACATCCTTAGGAACAATCAGCAATTTTTTTTCAAACGAAAAAAACCATCTTTTTAGTCAATAAATGGATTCTCACGCTATTTTTTATCTCTTTGTCAAGTTTTAATGTGATTTCTTTTTCTGTGACTCAATGCTGAGAAATTTAAGCAACGATCGAAGTTTGGTCATTGATGGAACTCATCCCCTATTCAATTTGTTCACCACTAGATCGATTGTTTCTATTTTTTTCAATAAACAATCTAATTTTTCTAGATCTAAAGAACAAATGGCTCACTTTCAGAGCTTTCGATTGAATCTAGTGTTGGATTAAGAAATCTTTGAGCCTATAAATCCTACATTCTTTTTGGCACATCTAACATTTATGGATGGTGACTGATTGTAAAGTTTTCTGAACTGACTCTTTTTCGCATTCAAAACAAAACAATCGCTTGAAAGTGGCTCTGAAATTTACCCAACAATTAGGGATATTCTATTTTCAGGAGCACGCCATAAGCTGCTGAAGCGGAAAATTTCCAAGTTTGGAATGATTATCAAACACAAATTTTATGACTTACTGAGCTTCAGTCAATTCGCTGGTTCTTGCCTGCGAAGTCCAACCGCTTCTTTTCATTTATCGGCGTAATAAAGGGGGCTTTTTGCATGCGCCTGCGAGCAATCAACTTGCTTTTTTGATAAAACTCTTCGAATTGTCCTTGAGGAGACTCCCAGATTCAGATCTGCTTTGATTTTTGAGGAGGTTGTTGAGTTTGAGGCCGTTCGAATGATTGCTCGTCGATCCCTTTTTGTAGTTTTTGGTTGCTTTCCAGAATGCTTTTTGGTACCATAGCCAGTTGGATCCCTGACATAAGAATCGACTACAGAAGGAGATCGGTTGATTTCTGCCGCAATATCGGGGTTACTTCAGTTGTTCATATTCAAGCCATCAATGCTTTTTTCTTGATCGGAAAATCTTTTCCCTTTACCCATATCTAAAAAATGATATGTAAACATTTAAAAAATGAAAAAAAGATGCATTCAAAGTACAAAATAAATGATTTAAGGTAAAATTGTTAACTTTTTTTCAAATGCCTTTAAAATTATGACCACTTGCCAGAGGCACTTTTTGAGTAAATTTGGTTTTTCTTTAAAAGTCCCAATTATCATCTCCTGGATTTTTCCAGTTATACATGTAAAATTATGATAGTAATGATGTTTAAAAGACGATTTTATTGGATATTCAATATTTTCTAAAAAATCGTGAAAATTCGACTGCCTTTAAAATTATGTCCAGCAGTGTAGGCGTCAAGTACAAGTCCATTTACAGGGACTCCAAATACCAGGCCAATCCGCCAATCGTGTTTTCACCTTCACCGTCCGTTGTCCACAATGCAATCTTGGCTTCTATTATAAACAGGATTCGACAGAAAATCCTTTGAAAGGTTGATTCGACTCTAAAGAAAGCAGCTGATGAATTCAGGCTTTCTCTGAGAACTACCCGAACGAATGGCTGAGTTTATGAAAGTTGCAAGAATGTCGAAAGATGAAGAACCTGTGGGGAATGTGGTGAAAAGGTAAAAGAACAAAATGAAATAAATTAACTGAGTTTTCTAGAACCTTCTTGTTCAACTGCAATGATTGCTCAAAAATTGTAAGTTTTGAGATCAAGTTTTGAAAATCCAATTTTTAGCTATGCGCCTTGTGCACTATGAAAAAGCATCGAGCTCATCAAATGACTGAGGTTTGTAGTACCCAAACTGTACTGTAAACGGTAGTTTCAACTAGTTAAGTAGTATTAAGAGTACGATTACGGTACCTTTCTTTTGAGCACAATTTTAGAGAATGATTCAACTGAGGGAACACAGTAAAATCTTCATTAAAAGCACTATAGTAAATTGAATAAGCCCAAGTACTTGACTTAAGAAACTTAAGTACTTGAATTGATAGACTAGATTGATAGACTGATCCAAACCCATCTCAACAAGCATTCTTGATGTTTAGGTGAAGAAGTTGACACTGGAAACCCGTCAACGATTATCCCGCAAATCACCACCTATGACGTTTGTTTTCCAGAGCTTTATTTAGCATTTCCAATAATTTTCAGCTCTTTTCAACGTTTTCCGCCTTCTGGCAAATGTATCTTCCTTGCGTTTGATGATCGTCATCATTGACTAGAATTATGTAAGAGTTCCCTTGTTTGATTGGATCTGACATGTGAATGCATAACTAAAAGGACTTAACATTGTCTTGTACTAAACCAAATTTGAAAAAATTCTTGGAAAATCTATTTGAAATCTCAAAACTGACTCCAAACTTGGATGAATCGAAGCTCTGAACATAATCATCCTTTGCCTGATCACTCCATTTTCTTTCTCCATTCACTCCATTTAATCCAATCCACGCGAAGTGTTTTGGACGATCGAAACAATCGAAAAACATTTGGATCCAGACCAGTTCCGAAAAGATTTCGATGGTTTTATGTGGCAACTTGCAAAATTGCACCACTACAGTAGAATCAAATAATCTACGGTTTTACCAATGAAAAGACCCATTGATTTTCTAAAAATAGCTTTTTGAGAGATTTGGAAAAGCTCTGGTTTTAGAGATTTTATGGTGGAAAGAAGTTTTATGGTGGATAGAGAGAGCGGAAGCGGTGAACGCTCGATAAGGCGATTCGACCAATCTCCTCCACAGAAACCGATTTCGATCTCGATAGAAACAAAAAGCACATGAAAAGTTAAGTATATAGCCACATGATAGCGGCCACATTCTTTATGATAGCGGACTCCAATCGTTCCGAAACCACGTTTTCCGAATTCCTCGTCAAATTTTGCTCCAGAAAAAGTGGTTCTTAACCGGTTTAAACAGGTTTCCATCTGATCATAGAAAAAAAGTCATTCTGAACTTTGAAATTTTCAGTGTTCATCTTTGAAGGGTTGAAATGCTTCAAAAACTAATCTAAACTGAAATACAAAATATACCATTCGCTAGATCTTGAAAAGTAAATATGCATAAGTGGAGTCTTCAAAAAAGACGATACGATGATTTGGTGGGAGCGCCCGTTTTGACGTCATTTCGCAGATGGAAACCAGTTTAAACCGTTTAAGGATCACTTTTTCTAGAGCAAAATTTAACGAGGAATTCGAAAAACGTGGTTTCGGAACGATTGTAGCCCGCTATCATAGAAAAAAGTCATTCTGAACTTTGAAATTTTCAGTGGTCATCTTTGAAGGGTTGAAATGTTTCAAAAACTAATCTAAACTGAAATAAAAAATATACCATTCGCTAGATCTTGAAAAGTTTCTCCATCATTTCAGGTCAAATAAAAAAGTTGCTCTGCTATTATTAGCTTAAGATTATAACTTTTCATTCAAACCAAACAGAAATTAGATAGCTGCTCTGGTGGAGAAATTCACATGGATTACCCATTCCATATGCCATATTAAACACATTGACATTGACACCCAACTATAAGGGGTGAATTGCAATGGCGGAATGGCACAAATCTGAACAGAAATTTTTATTTCACCCAACTATAAGGGGCCTTCACCCCTTATAGTTGGGTGTCATTCACAAATTGCTTGCGAATTCGCAACGTAGACTTAAAAATTTATTCGATTTTTGCCCTGATAATTGTTGTTTCTTCAAGTTGCAGTTGATTTCTTGCAAATGAATCTCCCAACTTCATGTTCACCATTTCTGCTCCCGACGCCTATCGTGAGCAAAGTGGTTTCTGTGATCGGCGGAATGGCACAAATCTGAACAGAAATTTTTATGTCTCTTATATGAACATATCTTTCTATTACAATTTGACCCTCCTACCGTATGTCAAGGTCTAAAATTTCATATGTTTCTGTTTTTTTACGACAAACCCCAAAATATCGAGACGGTCCACTTTGTTGACTGTAATAATCATCAGCCGTTCCATCACTCCATTGTCTCAATCCATTATTTGTATGCAATCCAATCCACGCGAAATGATCCGGTATATTGTTGCATTGAAGATTGTCCTTGTCCGGTTCGTGTTCGACGAGCTCTGAAAGCTTTTACTGATTCAAGGATTCTTACCTACAATTACAGGGTGCATGGAAGTTATTGACCGCCCCTATAAGCCTTGTAATTTCTTGAAAACTGGTCAACAAAGCTAAATTTCATTGTAGAATAATGAAAATAATCCACAAAAACAAAAGAAAGTCAACAGAACTCAGTTTGACCTTCTTTTACTGTACTCGTGAAGACTACGTGGAAAAAAATAGACCTGCAATCTTCATCAAAATCGCCTCAATCTTTCGATTAAAGCTGAGATGAAAATCACCTCAAATCTTTAGTTGATTGATATTTTAATTATAAAAAGATCATCCTTAGCCTAATTTTTGAAAAGATTCACATTTTGGGGCCAATCCATACGTCTTCCATTAGGGGCACCCGCTCATGTCACTTGGACGCGAGGGCCATCTGTTCAATTTTGTAGCCTCTTCAGAAGCCTTATTTTGCTAAATTAAAACAAAGAACTATTAAAATATGACTCAAATAAAGATTTGAAGCTTTAATCGAAAGATTGGGGCGATTTTGATGAAGATTGCCTGCACGCACAGTCTATTTTTTTCCAAGTAGTCTTCACGAGTGTATCCGAACAAAAGAAGGTCAAACTGAGTTCTATTCAATTTTTTTTACTTTGTGGATTATTTTCATTGTTTTACAATGAAATTTATCTTTGTGGACCAGTTTTAAAAAAAATTACAAAGCTTATAAGGGCAATCAATAACTTTCGCGCACCGCGTAGAATACAGTTGAGCTTATTCTTCAGATGTAACTTTTTGAGACTTCAAAAGATTTTCCTAATTTGGTACTGTATTTGTTTTTTGACTTACTCCCAAGGAATCTCTCTTCTTCTCGTGAATGAATCGATGCAAGATGACAGTCTTTCTTTCGACATTCAGATTCAGCTCCCGCCCACGTCCATCTCATCGGAATCCCGTTTTCGTCTGTCATATTCTACGATATCTTTGTCTTTAGCTTTAGCCTTCATCTTCATTGCCTAAATGTAAAATTTACCCACCTGAAGATAGTAGCAAGATTTGGAGGCGTTGAAATAAACCCATCCAACCTCACATGGCTCCTTTTTCTTTCGTTCTTCAATTTCCTTTAGTGAAGTTGCTCTAAAGTTGATTAGAACGGACAGTCGATAAATTGAAAAGCTTTGTGAAATTTTACCCTTTACAAACTTACTTCTCATTTTCCAGCTCTTTCACCCTTTCTTCCAACGTTTTCTTTTCACTTTCCAAAGCCTCAATTTTACTGTTTGAGATGTCTCTGAGATTTTTCATTGCTCCAGCGTTACAAATTTCATTCAAACCTCTCACTCTCCAAAACCTTAACCTTTTCTTGGAAAACTTTCTTCCCAGCCTCAAGAATTTTAGCCTTTTCTTCACAAAAACCCAAATTTTTAAATATTTTTGTCCTTTCTTCTTCAATTTGTTTCGTTTTTCCTTCACATTCTTTGATTTTCTTTCCGAAAATTTCCTCAAACAAGCTTTTGTCACATTTCTTTTCACACTCGTCCAATTTCTTGGACCAACTTGTCCTAAAGCTCATTATGAGATTTTTAGAAAAAAACCCAACTTTTCTTCAAGCAGCCTAATGACTTTCTTCTGTAATATTATCAAATCTTCTTTGCATTCTTGATCGCTAAAATAATGTTTTAGCTTATCAGATATATAAACATTACTTGTCTATTGCAAAAGCATAGAAGATTAGTACAGAAAAGGTTCCAATAAACATGAAATTCATTTTGAAAAATAATGAAAAAACTTTTACAAGAATGCATGAGTTGTTGAATCATTTTGAATCACAGTCCTTTCTTCAATAGACTGCTTCTTTTCAAGAAAATTGAAGTTATTATATCGAAGATTTATACATCAACAGTAGATTATAGATTTAATTGAGTGCAGAGAAATCAACAAGCAACTCCATTTAAGTGAAGATTTTAAAACATTAACTTAGAGTATCAAATAAATTATTAGCTTTTTGGTCTGATCAGTCTTCGGTCAGATCTAAATACTCAAAATGATGAAAATTTTGAAACAAATCCTTTTTCTTGCGCTTTTCTTTTTCGTTTGCAATAGAATTGACTTTGAATGTTTCAAGGCCATTTCGCTTATCAATCGATGGAGAAACAAAGCAATTTTCTTCCAAAGATTTCGGAAAACACGCGAATCTTTCAACTTTATATTATCAACTAAACCATATTTTTGTTCGCAACAATGTCGCCTGGGTTAACAATTTTCAAGTCATTCAATTTTCCACTTTGTTCGACGCCTTGTACGTGTTTTTACGATATTAAACCTTGCTAAGAAAAACAAACAGCAATTTTAGAGGGCAGAGATCTTGAAAAGGATATTTGAAACCATAACACTGACTAGTGAAAACGGCTTTAAAACGAGAACGCGATCTAAACTATCAAAACGATCTAAACTTTAAAACGCGATCTAAACTATCAAAAAGGTCTATAAATTTCGCTACATAATGGCTTTTAAGAGAAAGCTCAAAGCTCCCTTCAACTCGGTAAAAACTCATTTTTGTGTAAAATTTTCAATTGCTGCTTTAAAGAAAATGGCTAAACAGATTGTTTTCAAATTTTACAGACTAATGTAATTAAATGAGCTCTATCTTTTTTACTCTGATGCCAAAATAGATTTGTATTGAAGAAAGTGTCCAAATTGCGACTTCAGCAGTTTTGGATGCTCGTCTTTGCGCCTTTGAGAATCCACAAAAACAACGATTTCTGAGAACTTCCCAAAAACCATTTTGCAGAGGAATAAGTAACCTCTTTAATAGTTCAAATAGAAATTTTATTTGGTAGTGGCATTATTTTTAAAACAGGTTTCGAGAAAAAATTGAAAAGACTTATGCACTAACCTAATAGATTCCCTGTTGCCGACTGGTCCCCATGCTCTCACCCAAACACAATGTGACAACATCATGGCGATGTGCATCAAATGTTTGGCCGAAAAGGGAAATCTCTTAAAAGAGAATTGGTCTCATCAATGTAAATGCAATAAATGTTACAATCCCGCACGACCATCCTACTATATTCAGGGTAAAGAAAAGATTTGTCTTCTCTGCTCCATTCCACCAAATTTCAGACTTACTCAATCAGCTCGAATTTGATGAAACAAAGAATGGATATGTTCTTGTAAAAGAGGTACGCAATCTTTGCATTTTTGAGCTTTATGGACCATTGCAATGATTAAGCTTTTAGGTTACCATTCCCAAATGCCCGATCTGTCACGAGGAATGTGAGTTAACTAACTAGGGAGCGGTGAGGTTTCACAAGCGCGAATTCGAACCAAAGCTGTATGACTTATGCAAGTCGGACACGGGTAACACGATGGCGTTTTTAGTTTTTGCCCAAAACTACTCAAAATACCACTTTACTGCTCAAAACATTTAAATAAAAATGCAGAAAGCAGTATTAAAGGAAGGACTACGGTACCTTTTTTTGGGCACAATTTTGGTGGTTCAACTGAGGGAACACAGTAAAATCTTCATTAAAAGCACTATAGTAAATTGAACAAGCCCAAGTACTTGACTGAAGAGACTTAAGTACTTGAATTGATAGACTAGATTGATAGACTGATCCAATTTCATCTCAACAAGCATGCTTCATGTTTAGGTGAAGAAGTTGACACTGGAAACCCGTCAAACGATTATCCCGCAAATCACCACCTATGACGTCTGTTTCCCCGAGCTACAAGCAAATTTGATGCAAAATGTCAGCGAGTTTCAACTGGTAAGTGAACTTGCTCTTTTCCCTTTTTCTTTCTTCGTTCCTTCTTTCCCTTACCAAGTTAAGGTACCGGAAAGCAAAAGGTTGAGGGTTCAATCCCCTCTCCAGAACTCTACTTTTCTTGTCAATTTCTTCACTTCTTTATTGTGAAGAAAAGATACAAAATGTGCTCAAATTGGTGCCTTCACTTTATTGAAATTGGTTCTTTACCATCTTTCATAAACCCATTTTCCAGGCTCTCTTGCACGAGATTGATCAACTCGAGGCGCTCAATTTCAACGAAGCAATCCAGCTGAAGAAAGAGTGCTTGTGAGTTTCATTGCTGACTATCAGCAACTTTCAGCAACAGCGTTTTTTGTTATTTTATTCAAAAAAGGCCTTATTTTAAGAATTTCGCACATTCTTTTCAAAGTTCGATTCAGAATAAACGGCTGAACGGACTTGGCTGAAAATTTGAGTGAATATGTAAAAGATTCTTGGGTTTAATAAGCGGATAAAAGTGAAAATATTCTCCCTTGGGAAAGTTGTCAAATGGGCGATTTTGAGTATTTGTCTTTGCTCTCCCGAACCCAAAACCCAAAAAGTGAGCTTTTCGGTTTATGTCAATTTTGAGTATTTGTCTTTACTCCCCTGAAAATACCTAAAAACTAAAGCTATCCAAAATCGCTCAAAAGCCATTTTTGGGGGAAATATTTGGCCTTTCTAATGGTGTAAACCGTTTCTCATTTTGTGAATTCTTCGTTAATGAAAATAAGTTTTAATAAATAAACGCGGTTTATAAGTTGAAAACCTAATAAAAACTTTAGTTTTTTACTGCTTAAAACTTTGTATATGCTTTGAATTTCAGGGAAATTGGCGAAAATTTCGAGGAGGTTTGCGGGAAGTATTTGGTCGATTTGCGGCTATGCAACAGCAAAATTGGAGTAGGTTTATGGAAAACAAAAAGAAAATTGACAAATTGACAATTTTTCAGAAGTTGATTGAGAGAATTAAGAAGAGAAAAACGGGAAATTAAATGGACATCAACGAATGAAATGACTTCTTTTTCTTTTTCAGTTAATCGAAATTGAAATTGAGTTCTTGAAATTTGAGTGTTAGGCATTAAAATTGCTTTCAAAGCAACTTTTACTTTCTTAAATTTACTTAATCACTTCGATCTTGCCACTTTTGTTGCCACTTCCAGCTTTTAGTTTGGCCTGAAAATTGTTTTTGATCGTTTCTCTTGATAAAAGATTTATCTATTCTAAACATATTCTTCAGCAGAACCGTTTTGATTTAAAATAGATTTGAACAAAATCAAAATATTTTATGTTTGCCTAAATTATGTTAAATTTGGACTCAGATACAATCTTGTTACATGCAATGCAACTAGTGAGTAACTCGTATTGAATAAAATTTATTTATTTCAAAAATATTCTAATAGCGATCATTTTATCATTCGATGGCAAGCTATAGGCTCAGTTCCTATTTGATTAAGAGGCTTCTCACGGAAAAGTGTTTACTCTTAGCATTACTTTTGATTTTTATGAGCGCAAGGCCTTTGGTGTCTGAGGAATCGGTAGAAGTTTTTGTAAAACGTTTATCATTTATTATTGTAAATATCATTCATTTATTATTGATATTTTAGGCTGAAATCACTCAGTCTTCTTCACCATCTTGTCATCAGAAAATATGAATGATGAGAATATGAAAATATCAGAAAATAGGAATGATGATCATCGATGGCGTCATTGGAACGCGCGAACTCGAAGCTGCCAGTTAGCTTTCTCATCATGTACTTGTAAATATGTTTGCCCAAATGTGATTCTCCGTGAGAAATTGATAACGGCTATGTTAGAAATCCTCTTTTCTATTTTTTTCAAAGGGTTGTCTTTTCATTAGTGACCAAGAGCACCGCTGGTCTAGTTTCGCAGGGTTTTTAGTCTCTCTAAATTTTAACCAAACCATTTTTCAAGACGCTATGGTGGATCACTTCCGAGTCAGCGAGATCATCAAGTATGACCCAATGGGTGATTCGTCGGATCGGTTAAAGCAATTTGTTCCCGACATCCCGACATCTTGTCTCTTTGTACCAGGATTGTTTCAAACGGAAAAATTCAAGGCAATGCAAGGCAAGGGCAAACTTCGGGATTATCAGAAATTGAAGTAAGGCAAGGGCAAGGTCCCATTTTCGGGTAAAAGCAAGGCAAGCTTTATGTGATGTGTAAATTTATCGACTATTTGTTATGACGATACCCAAATTGGGTAATTTATTGTATCATTTAAATATTTATTTGTTTTATTTAGATGCCTGAGAAAACAGGTCTAATTTGCCTAAATTAACGTATTTATCAAAAACTCATGAACAAATATAAGTGAAAATAAGGCATCAAACTGCTAGGGAATTTTATTTAAAAGCATCCAAATAGAAGCGAGAAATTACAATAATTTTCATGGACTTGAGAGAAAGACGATTACGGTCATTAGCAATAATATTTTTGATAGCCGAAAAAAACGTTCAACAACAGCTTCTGAAGTGTAGATGCACAAAATTTTAACAGCGTTTAACAGGTGCGAAGTTCGCATCACTGCGCATTTGGTGCTGTGCTGTGTTTGCACCGTGCTTGACCCAGGTACATCATCCAGGGAAATAAATACAATAAATACAATAAGATAGCGAACAGCTTTTATTTCTCTGAAATCCACGAAATGCATTCACATATATAATGACAATAAATAATAGCTAAGGATTCGAAAAGTGAGTCAAAATGGCGTCACTTGTGTGATTATGAGAAAAGTAATGAAATCTCTCGATCAACACATCAACAAGCACTTCACCCAGAGGCTGGAAAGAAAAATTTTCATCGTCACTTGCGTAAACAAGTTTAAGTTAGATTGATACTTTTAAAATTACCAATTTCTTTTCCTGTTGAAGAAATTATCTGTTGGTCATTGAATTTGCTGAGCAGCTTCTAAACTTTGAGAATAATAAATGCCCTATTTTAACATTAAACCTCAATCCCAGTGTCACATGATCGCAAATCGCCCAAATATTTCTCACAAATCCCCTCAAATTCCTCACCAATAGCTCTGAAGGTTGTTTTTTGTTTTTCTAATTTCTGTGAACTTACAAACAAGCCTCCTTTTCGTACTTTGCTGGATCATAATTTAACCCCTCAATTTTGCCGGCTTTTTCAAGAGCTTTCTGAAGAATCTCTGGAATTTATCACAACAATTTGAAAAATTTACCGCTTGAAAATTGTGGATTTTTCCAACCAAATCCGCTTGAAGTTCGGGAAAACAGACATCATAAGCTTTAATTTGCGGGGTAATCACTTCATAAGTTGCATTCATCAATTTCTTCACCTGAAATGGAATGTTCTTCTGGTTATTTGTAGATTCTTTCTTTCTACCTCTACAACTTCCAAATCGACAATTTTATGCTGTCGATGCTTTTTCATTCCACATAAAGCACAGAACTAAACCTTGATTTATACTTTCACCTTACACATCACATGAGTGTAGCTTTTGAAAATCTCTAACATCCCTGAAAGCGTTAACTGAAATATGCACACAATTATCCAAAAATCTTTTCTCAACGAACCACTACTTTCCCACAATCGTTACATCGAAACATTTCAAACAAAGATGCCTAAATAGAATTTGACAAGGTTAAATCTAGAGGCAAACCTTTTTCTTGCAATCATCACATGTTCTTTTCAATTCAGTTTGTTTCTCCGACAGTTCTCGCAAAAAGACTGAATGATTTTAACGATTCAAGGATGATAGATAAGCAGCCAACTTTTCAATGGATTCTCCCATGATTCTTGAGCATAGCAACTGCTTTGTTTGCATTGTGGACACTCGAGAACATATTTGAAGCTGGTATGGGTTATTGGTTTTGACATTTTAGCAAAACACCCATTACATATCCCGTGGCCACAGTAGAGGATGAATGGTTCTCTTTGTGAGTCTTCTATTGAGTCTAATGTTTCATCATTTTCTAAGTGTACAATGAAATCACCAACATTCTTCATTACAAATCGGACACTCAGGAATTGTGATTGATTGAGTTGCTTGAACGTACCCCATCAAATTTTGATTCAACATTAGGCACCCACTTGAGAGCAATTCTAAAGCAATCTGATTGTGTTCGTTTTTCAAGAGAATTTTCTTTGATTAGTTAGAAGTTTACTCACCCATCAAGCAATATGAAGGAAACGCCGCGTACCCGAAACAATTGCGGTCTTTGCATTGATGTGCTCGAATCGCTGGGGCTATTGCTCGTTGTTCTTCATGACATTTCCTGCACACTGCTTGAATATCATAACACCAAGTTTGTGTCGGTGTATTTACTTCATTTGCCGTTTTTGAGTCTGAAATATAATTTTGTACATTTTTGTTACAATAAGTTAATGAAAAAATAATGGGCTTTTTTTGAATTCAAAGTAAAACTTACACGGCGTCGAACAGAGTGCACAATTGAGCGATTTGAAGATCGGCATTTTAAGAGTGACAAAGAAAAGTCACAGAAAAAGTCTAAGTGAAAAAGGAAACGAACAATTTCAACTCGATAGATCGCTTCAACTGTCTAAATTTTGCAATTTATTGCACCATTCAAAAGAATTTATTGCTTAAATAAACTTTTTTGTTGACCAAAAGATTGCGCAATAATTAAAAGATCATTTTGATTTAGTTTTGAAAACAAAACACAATATTTGTATTTTTGTTTTTATTTGCTTTTATTATTCTTTATTGATTCTGCTACTTGATTGTCAATCGAGACAACATTCAAGATCCATCTTGAACTCTTTCCAGGCTCTTTTTCCACAAAAGTCTCATGAAAATATATTAGGGTAATAGAAATGAAACCAGCGCTCACAGATCTTTCTAAAAATAAAAAGATTGCAAGCCTCAGCCAATAACTGTTGCATACTATTAGAAAGCTTTGAATCTTCTCTACAAAATTCAAAATCTTTTTTCCACTATTTTGTTGAGGAGCTTCAGAGCTTTCTAATAGTATAAAACAGTTATTGGTTGAGGCTTGCAATCCTTGTATTTTTGAAAAGATATGTGAGCGCTGGTTTCATTCCCATCACCTTAATATGTGAACGATGGCCGAAACAGATGACTTAAATTAAATACTATCTGCTACCTGAATAAATACTTTAAAAAGTCTATACCTGTTTGAAGAATTCTTGGCGCACCAAACGTGCCAAAAATTGCAATGAGACGTTCAACAACTTCTTTCGCCATCTTCGTTTTAAAGGCCCTCAACGAAACAAATTTTGTAAGAAGGTCCTAAAATCAAAATATGTATTAAACAAAACCGAATAACAAAAGTATTAGATTGAGGAAAAAGTATTATATATGCTTTATTCAGGGGCGAATAAAGCGAATCAGATAATCATAACCGCATATAACATACTGCTACAATACTTTCACAAAAAAGAAAGAAAACTAAAAATAGTACAGTAAGACTACAGTTAGGAAACACAGGTACAAAAAGATTAAATATAGGGCAGATTTGACATGGCAATAAGATCTAATTCGTTTACAGATACTTTGAATTTTCCTACAGACGAGAAGATACCAGACGGGAGCCTATTCCAAACCCTACTAATACGGTTCGCAAAAGAATGATAAAGGGATGATGGGGATGAGAACCGACCGAAATTTGATAAGGATGACTACGTGTACTTCTAGGAATTTCCACAATTTTCAAGAGGCTTTGAAATTCTGGATGCTACTTAGGGTGGAAAAGAATTTCATAGCAAAAAATAAGATCAAAGTAAATACGGCGATATAAAAGGGGTTTTAAATCAAAAATTATAAGTCTAGTCTCATAATTTGGAATAAGAGAAGAAGGGAAACAACGAGTGCATGCTTTTTTTAGTGAAACGCCGATTTTCAACCAAGGTGATAAGTTTCTTAATGGAAGGTGACCATACGATGGTGGCATACTCGAGCAAAGGTCGGTAATAGGTTATAAAAGCCTTGCGATAAGTCGCAATTTTAAGGAAACAAATGGCGCGAAGAATTATGTTAGAAATTCTAGAAGCTCTTTTGGAAATGTAGTTTATGTGAGGATCAAATTTTAGAGTGGGAACTAATAGTACACCAAGATCTTTTACAGGAATCCTTGTGGTATCCTTGTGGTAATTGTAGGTCCCCCAAATTTAAAGGGATATGTAATGAACCAAATGTAACGTGTTTGCATTTGTCGAAGAGTCCTTTCGGTAAGCCAATTTGCAATCCAGTTAGTGATGGATATGGAGAGACCTAGTGAATTTAGTTTGGCGATTGAAAAATCTATGATTAACAGAATCGAATGCTTTGGAAAAATCAATGAAAACGCAGCTAGTTTGATCGTTTTTGGCTTTAGCTAGAAGCCAGTCATGCGCACAGAGAACTAGCTGGTCGGAGGTAGAGCGGTTTTTAAGAAAGCCGAATTGATTTTTATCAATTAGATTATGTTCATTTAGATAATAAATAATGTGATCGCGAATAATTATCTCTAAGACTTTACAAATGGAGGAGGTGAGCGCGATGGGTCTATAATTTGCAAGCGCGTTCCGATCTCCTTTCTTAAAAAGTGGCGAAATTATTGAGTCTTTCCAAAATTTAGGGATCTTAGCCGTTGGAAGTAACACATTAAAAAGTTTAGCAAGTATTCGTGATATTGGAAACTTATATTTCCGTATAACAAAAGAGGGAATTCCGTCTGGGGTGTAAGAAATCTTATTGCTAAGCTTACTAATTGCTTACTAATCATTGTTAAGCTTACTAATTGCTGTTTCGACAAGTCTTGGTGTGACGATTAGGGCTGCGCAAGTATGTGCGGGGGCGGGAAGAGCAGGGATGCAACTACCATCGTCAACTACAAAAACGCGGCAGAAATATTGAGCAAAGGAATTAGCAATTTTGTGATTTTCGAAAATCAACGAGTTGCGAAGGGGGTCAAATATACATTTAATAGAGGAATCCTGGTTTGGGTTAATCTTAGAATAGACGTACGAGTAAAAAACCTTGGGACTAGGACTAAAAACGGCTTTCCGTTCAATATTGGCCTCAAATTTCTTGACAAACTTAGTTAGCTTGTTTTCTAGATATGCGTAATGGGGGGATCGCGATAACGCCAAGCTGTTTCTAACCTTTGCCTAGCTCGAGATATGTGACTGGGGTAAGAAAAGGTAGACCTGGTTGAAATAGGTACATTTTCGTCCAACAGCGATTTCATCTCTTCAAAGAAGTCAGCATAACACTCGTTGATGTCCACCTCTAATCGGGGAAGAAACCTTGCATTGTAGAGCGCTAAAGAAAGACAGACAGCACCGAAATTACCTCTCCAAAAGGGACGGTTACCATCATCCGGTCCTTTTCGAGAGGTAAAATGATGCAGAATTAAACTAAAAGACATAGAAAAATGGTTGGCACCACCAATAGGAGGACATGGTGAAATAGCTGAAATTAAATGAGGGGAATCGGTTAAAACTCGGTCTAAAATTTGCAAACTTTTCCTGAAAGTAGGGAATTTGTTTAAAATTCCTAAGATGTCGGCTGACAGGAAGTTTTCTAAATGTGGAAAACGCGATAAATTAGGTAAAAGTCCTGGAGAAACAGTTAAAGGAAAATTAAAATCGCCAAGAAGGAAATTTGGACGATTTGGTAGCAAGTAGTCTTCAAGAAATGTGAATAGATTAGCATTCAAAACTTTTCAAAAATTAGGCCAATGATGATCTTTTTATAATTAAAATATCACTCAACTAAAGATTTGAGGTGATTTTCATCTCAGCTTTAATCGAAAGATTGAGGCGATTTTGATGAAGATTGCAGGTCTATTTTTTACCAAGTAGTCTTCACGAGCGCAGTAAAAGATGGCCAAACTGGGTTCTATTAACTTTTTTTTGTTTTTGTGGATCTTTCCATTATTTTACAATGAAATTTATCTTTGTGGACAAGTTTTCAAGAAATTACAAGGTTTATAGAGACGGTCAATAATTTCCATGCACCCTGTAATTGTAGGTAAAAATCCTTGGATCAGTAAAAGCTTTCAGAGCTCGTCGAACACGAACCGGACAAGGACAATCTTCAATGCAAACATATACCGGATCATTTCGCGTGGATTGGATTGCATACAAATAGTGGATTGAGAGAATGGAGTGAGTGATGGAACGGCTGATGCTTATTACAGTCAAGAAAGGGGACCGTCTCGATATTTTGGGGTTTGTCGTAAAAAAACAGAAACATATGAAATTTTAGATCTTGACATACGGTAGGGGGGTCAAATTGTAATAGAAAGATATGTTCATATAAAAGACATAAAAATTTCTGTTCAAATTTGTGCCATTCCGCCGCCGCAATTCACCCCTTATAGTTGGGTGTCAATTGTCAACAATGTTGTCAATGGTGTCAATGTCAATTGTCAAGTTTTTGAAGCATTTCAACCCTTCAAAGATCACCACTAAAAATTTCAAAGTTCAGAGTGACATTTTTCTATGATAGCGGGCTCCAATCGTTCCGAAACCACGTTTTTAGAATTCCCCGTTAAATTTTGCTCTAGAAAAAGTGATTCTTAACCGGTTTAAACAGGTTTCCATTTGCGAAATGACGTCGAAACGGGCGCTTCATCAGTCATGTTTCATCAGATGTTAGAATTCTTCCCCCAAAATCATGAGATTTGCCTTTTTGAAGTAGAGCTAACGATAACACGAGTTGTTTTGTTACCTTGAGTCAGTTCATGAGAAACCCATCTTCCGCAGTGAATTGTTTTTCCTAATTGATGTAAGTGGTTGTCGATTGTTTTTTGGTCCATCCCAAATGTGTCCGCTAACTCACGAGTGGTAAGGGTTGGATTGAGTTCCATGGCATCAAGCAAATCCTCATCTGAAATCTCTTGGGGTCGTCC